AAAATTCATGAAAATTTTAAACTTTTTAAAACCAATCCATAATTCATCATTGTTTACAAACTAGTTTTCAAAACATGTTTAATATCAAAGTTTTCCAAAATCATAAAACAAAACACGAGGAAGTGCACGATCACACCTTTGCTTCTCGCGATCATCTGAGGTACCTGAAACATAACCCAAAACTGTAAGACAAAAGCTTAGTGAGTTCCCCCAAAATACCAACACAACACATAATCATAACAATAACAACAACATGCATACAGAGCCTTCGGTCTGACCGAAATCCCCCACCGGCCTACAATCTACCTGGTACGCTTACAAAACCTTTAACATGACTGGTACGCCACACCGGGCCTTCGGCCTATTAAGTCCTTGAGCATAAAGGTGCAAGCTTTATGTGAAGAATGGTGTCATGCATACTTCAAGCCCTCTATTAAGTCCCATTTTAGCTTAAGAACTTCATTTAGTCATGTAGGGACGTAAAGTTGGCAACTTTACGTGATAATCCATCTCAAGGAGGTCAGATCTATGTTTTGGGGCCATGCCTTTATGGATTAAGTGCTTAATGGTTGAGTTGCTGACTCTCGGGCAAATACGACGTGTTTGCAGGCCAACACGACGTATTGGCTAAGGATTTCCCGATTATTTGCATGTTGGAAGAACACAGCGTGTTTGGTCAACATGGGTTGTTGACTTTGACTTTGACCAGGAGTCAGATCAGGGTTGACCATCAGTTATGTTGGGTTATGTTTGGGCATTAGGGTAAGGCTCATGTAAGGGGTTTCGGTCCAATTTGGAAAGTTAGGCCAAGTATGGGCCTTAAGTGATTAATTAGTTTTGGGCCTTTTAGATTTCGAGTTTGGGCCTCAGTCTTAGGCCAAGCTAGGTTAGGAGTAAAATGGTCTTTTTATCCCAAGTATGGATTTTTGGATTATGGATTGGAACCCAATTGTTAATTGGGTGTTGTTTTGATGTTGATAGTTTGGGGATCTGTCAACCAGCAGCCATGGATCGTCTGTATGATTCGACAGTGCGAGGTGAGTTTCCTCACTATGTTTAGCGGTTCGAAGGCACCAGTATCGACCCATGGTTTTATGTTAGGATGCTAGATGTCTATTCGACTCTTGCACATAGTATATAATGATATGCTTACCGGGAAAGGCCCGATGCCAGGCGAGGACTGATGGGCATATCGTATGTTAGTTATCAGTATGTGTCTTTATGAATATTGGGTGAGGCCTGATGTCGGGCGGGTCCCAATGACTGTATCGTATGCTATAGTCTTTGTGATTATTGCATGTGCTAGTCTGGTTTTATGTTTATATGGTTATAGGGTTATGTGTGTACCGAGCGGGGATCGATGATGGGTGAGGCCCGATGATTGGAACATATGCTAGGGTTTATGATCATTTTATGTGTTAGCATGATTATGTGATATATTGTATGTGTATAGTGGGCGTGGCCCAGTGACATGAGAGGCCTGAGAATAACAGATCTGTAATCCGAGCGGGGGACCGAGACCGAGTGGGATTCGAGACCTGGTGAGGCCCGAAGGAGGGTCGGGGCCCAATATGTGATTTATGTATGTGTGGTATGAGGTATCTTGGGGAACTCACTAAGATTTGTCCCTACAGTTTTCAGTTTATGTTTCAGGTACTCCGGTTTTCAAATGGAAGAGCTTAGGATGGTTGTAGGGCACACACACCACATGTTTCCGCATTCTGTGATTTACTCTGATTTGATGATGTTTTACTAAATCTTGATAACCATGGTTTTATGGAAATGATATGTATTAATGATTTATTAATTTAAGAACAAAATTTTATGTCATTATTTTTGGGATGTTACAGATTCAGAGTTTTCTAAGGCTGGCCAGGTATTATCAGAGATTCATTCAATACTTCTCTACGATTGTTGTTTCGTTGACAAGGCTGACAAAGAAGTCAGTTACCTTCTGTTGGGGGCCTGAACAGCAGGCAACATTTGCAAACTTCAAGATAGAAGTTATGTGAGGCTGTGAGCCTCTGATCTGACTTTACTAGAGGGTGTGGACGACTTAATGGTCTATTTTGATGCTTCGATCATGGGATTAGGAGCAATTCTTATGCAGTAGGGTCATGTGACTATGTACGCTTCGAGGCAGCTGAAGCCTCATGAAGAGAACTACCCTACGTACGATTTTGAGTTGGGAGTTGTGGTTTTTTCCCTCAATATTTGGCGACATTACTTGTATTGGGTCCGTTGTACTATTCACACAAGAGTTTGAGGTAATTGATGGATCAACCGAACATGAATATGAGATAGCGCAGGATCCTCTATCACCCTGGGAAGGCCAATGTGGTGGCTGATGCCTTGAGCCGCATGGTGACGTGTACTCACATCCGAGATTTGTGTCTGATGATGACAGTGATTACTCAATTGTTGGAGCAGATTCGCGAGGCTCAGGTCGAGGCATTGAAGGAGGTGCACCGGAAGAATGAGCGCATAGTGGGTCAGGTGTCCTCTTTTGATTATGCTAGTTGGGGATTGGTGACTTTACATCAAAGTGTTTGGGTTCCATATTTCGGTGGTGCACAGTAGATTCTGATGGAAGAGGCGCACAAGTCGAGGTTTTCTATTCTTCTGGGAGCGACAAAGATGTATAGAGACCTCCGACTTGATTATCGGTGACCCTGCATGAAACAGGATGCAACTTGGTATTTGGAGAGGTGCCTGACTTACAAGAAAGTCAAGGTCGAGCATCAGCGACCTCACAGAAAGATGGAGCCGTTGGCTATCCTTATTTGGAAATGAGAAGAGATCATGATGAACTTCACCATGAAGTTACCCCAGACAATACGATAGGTGGATTTGATTTGGGTCATCGTGGATTGATTGACCAAGAGTGAACATTTTATCCCTATTCAAGATAGCATCTAAGTTAGCAGACATCTATATCTGTGAGGTAGTTGCACATCATGGATTTCCGATATCAATGGTTTCAAACTGGGATGTGCGTTTCACTTCTAGATTCTGGAAGCGATTTCACGAGGAATTAGGCACTCGATTGCACTTCAGTACAATTTTCCACCCGCATAATGATGTTCAAAGTGAGCAGACTATCCAAACCCTAGAGGATATGTTCCGGGCATGTGTTTGGAACTTTCGTGGTAGTTGGGAGTCGTACCTCCCATTGGCACAATTCTCATACAACAACTACCATGTCAATATCGATCGATCTCCTTTCAGATGCTCTATGGGAGGAAGTGTTGGACCCTGATTTGTTAGGACGAGGTCGATCAGCAAGCCATGGTTAGCACGAAAGGTGGTGCTCCGTACTACCGAGTTGATATAGTAGGTGCACGGGAGATTGCAGATTGCACATGGTCAGCAGAAGAGCTATGCAAATCGGCAGCGATCCGATCTTGAGTTTCAAGTTGATGATATGGTACTTCTAAAGGTCTCACCTTGGAAAGATGTCATCCGATTTCAAAAGTGGGGCAAGTTGGGCCCTAGGTATATTGGTTCGCTCAGGGTTGTTGCCCAGGTACGTAGGGTTGCATATCGTTTGGAGTTACCTGACGAGCTCAACCAAATTTATAACATGTTTGACGTCCCTCAGTTGCAAAAATGCTTGGTCGATGAGTCTGCAGTAATGCTATTGGAGGATATTTAGGTTGGCGGGCGCCTGAACTATATATAAAGACCAATTCCTCGATAGGAAGATGAAGATGCTGCAAAACAAGGAAGTGGGTTTGGTGAAGGTGCAATGGCAGCACCGAAAGGGTTCAAAGTGGATATAGGAACCCCAAGAAGAGATGAGAGAGCATTATCCAGAGTTATTTGAAGCAGTGGACTTCGAAGATGAAATCTGATTCAAGTGGGGGAGAGTTGTAATACTTGTTTCAGGTATGAGTTAATACATTATATTTTAAGTTTTCATTTTAGGTGGCCACGACGTGGTGGAGCCTCACCACGGCGTGGCAATATTTTTTTGGATCGTAGCGTTTAATGACCCACCACGGCATGGCCATAAGTGTCAATGTCGGCCATCTGGATTATGTTTGCAGAATACTAGTTGTCTTTATGTTGCATGTTATGTATGTCAAGCGGGGCGAGGCTCGATGTATGTTTGGTATGCAGTATTTTGGGGGAACTCACTAAGCTTTGTGTTTACGGTTTATGTTTATATTTCAGGTACTTCCGGTTCCAAAGAGAAGAGTTCAACGTGATTGCATCACATCCATTGGTGTTCCGTATTTTATGACTTATTTTGTACCCTGATAACTTTTGATACTTTTCTATACTTTGATGGGCTTTAGGAATATGGTTGTTTTGGTTGACTTACAACAAAAATTTTACCTTGTAAATTCTAAGAAATTACATTCGGTGTCAAAAAAACGGAGTTTTAAGTCAATAAATAAAGACTTATCAAAAACATATTATACAAGTTAGTAAGTGTTTTTAATATTCCTTTATACAAACACTTAAAATAGTTTATTAATGTAACAAACGTAATAAATATAAAAGTAATAGTTTATTACTATAAACCAATAAACACTTCAAATAATCAATCACAAACACCCCTTAGAAGTTAGAACCACCGTTAGCATAAATATAAAAGTAATAGTTTATCAAACAAATACACAAAATTTTGCCATAAAAATATATTAATGTCACGTATAGGTTCTAATTGAATTAAGAATACATAGATTTAGATTATTAAAGCAAATGATCATATATATGTTGATCAGCCAAATATATATAATTACTTGTTGCAATTTTATTTATCTTTAAGTTCACCCGTGACCATGTGTAGACTTTCTATGTAAAAAATTAGTTGTAATGTTATTTTTATTGATTAATTAGTATAACTATATTATTTTTCTATATGCAAGTGATGTACCACTGGTTTTAACCATCACATTCAGAGAAAAAAACAAAAAGGTTTCACATGCACTAAAAGTCTTTTATATATTACATGATTTGATTATCCAAACCGGATAACTTTACTCTCTCTCTATATATATAGACAGATGGCCCATGTGAGCTTAAGAGGAAAAGTGAAAAACTAAAGTGTGTGAAAATGGAGATGAAGGGGTTATATTTATTGAAGGTTGTGGTGGTGATGTCGATGGTGGTGGGTGGTTGTAAGGGTGATGTGAACGCCTTCAGAGACTGCTACGCCAAATGCTTCATTTTCTGTATGATTGAACCCGACAAAAGCCTCTGCACATGCACTACACAATGCCTCAAAGAATGCATCTTTCCATCTCTTCCTCCTAAAACAACCACCAATTCCATGTCCACTATTCATCATCCACATGCACAAAACCTTGCTTACTGCAAGCTCGGCTGTGCTACTTCCCTATGTTCTAACTTCAGCAAACCAAACAATCCAGGTATATATATATCCACTATGTATACACATATAACATTTGTATATATGTGTAAAAATCTTGAGATCTTATATATGGCCTATGTGATTTCACTTACATGTATAGATGTTTTGGTCATCAATGATCACTCTAGCACTGAGACTGGACTATTGAATATACACATGTACGAATGTATGCATGTGTATCATGTTAGGAATAATCTAAGTATACAAAAGGCATAAATATACATATGTTCTCATTTATTTGTCCCCTTGACATTATTTTAAAAGGTGAAATTACATATATACTTGTGTTACATTTTTTTTTTCTACAGATGGGAAGAATGTGGAGAGCTGTGTGGGGTCATGTTCAGACAAGTGCACTATGAGTTACTCATCTTCACCACCTTGAAAAACACTGTTTTGAACTATAGTTGATTCTTACTTTTTTTTTTTAATGTATTATTTTGTTTTCATTCCTTTAAATGTATGAAAAAGGATTACCCGGATCATTGTATAAGTCATTATTGTTGTAGTGTTTGTATTTGAGGAATCAACCTTGAGATTTTATTTGTAATGAGATTGAACGTCAATGTTAGATGGATAAATTTAAATTTAATTTGATCATGTTCATTGTGATTATGTAATACGATAATTAATAATCTAAATCATATGTAATCTATGATAAGATAAGCTATATTATATAATTTGGATGTTTTTTTTTTCATTTTAAAGTTGAAATAATAAAAAACATATATGAAGTAATCTTGTCTTTATTTGACCCGTGAAGTTGGGTGCGTGCTGTGCTGCCCGTGAAAGACAAATGATAGCATGCGAGGAAACCTAAAAGTCCAAAAAACACACGGACCAAGATTCTATTTCTATACAATAAAAGGGCAGCATCTGTAGGATCATCGGACAAGAACAAATCAACAATGTCCAATAAAACAGCCTCGATTTAAAAACATCTATTATAAATACATTTACAAAACAAGTGATACAAATACAATGTCTTGACTTAATTGAGAGACACGAGACACATACATGAGACTTCCCATATTAAGTCCTAACTTTTATAAATCAGTTTTGATGTTTTTTTTTTCTTCAAGTGTCATTTCCTTAGATACTCATCAATTGGATTATGTAAGGAAATCAAAATTTGGATTCAAAAGATTAAAGATGATTTTTACCACTTCAATTGACAAATTAGGGTGTAATAGCCCCAAGTGATGACGTTTGAACAGGAATATGCCCAAGGGTGATATTTCAACTTTCATTAAAAGATATGTTTAAAACATTCAAACAAGGAAATACAAGATAACAGACACAATTAAACATATAATGGTGAATGAATTTAGGAATTGGAAAAGCTCGTGTTAGCATGCAAAAAGCCCACAACAGATTGGATAGGAATAGGATATGATAGGATATAATGTTTACATAAAGAAGAATAACTCCTAAAATCTGTTTGATTAATTCAACACCTCATATGATAAAAAGGCAAACAGATACCTGAGAGACCAAAATGGCATTCATTGTTCATGGAGAATTTTCAGGGGTCTTCAAAGATGAAACAGCTGTTGTTGTAGATTCTGTATTGCCTTTGTGTTGTGTAACCATAGCACGAAACTCATCAACAATGGAAGAATCTTTAAACTTCAAAGCAAAAGTTGAAAGACTATCTTTCCCTTCTTCACCTGTACTATTCAAACAAGCAAATGTGATCCCTCTCTTCTCCATATTTGTGAGTTTCATATCAGGAAAGATACTCGCATTCAATATCAATCTGTAATTCCCTCTAGCTCTCATCACAAGTCTGGCTTTCCCAATTCCACTTCTTGAAACATTCACTTTCAATTCCCCTTTCCCACGTTCTTTCCACCCTCCATCAAGAAACTCAAACAGCACAGAATCTGCTGTGAAAACAGCTCTTTCATTCTCCTCACCTGTTTCCACATGGACTTCTTGCATCGATTTGTTTCCCTCGGTTTTCTCAATTCCATTGGTGCCAAAAGAAGGGAAACTCGGATTCTCACTTTTTGTAATTGAGCCAAATGAAAATGATGAGCTTGAAAACCCTGTTCCTACAAGTCCAGTGAAAGCATTTTGACCACTTGAAAGGTGTTGGAATGAGCTAAAGCTGTTGCTTTTTTCATCGTTTTCAACTTTTTTGCTTTCAGTCTCTTTTTTCGCCTCACATTCAGCCTCCTCTTTTTGGATTTCAGGTTGTTGATCACCACCATCTTCTTGACTTTCAGTTTCTTTTTTTGCATTATCTTGAGATTCTATTTCCACCACTTCTGAAGCTATTTTTTCAGTTTCTTTTTTTGCATTATCTTGAGATTCTATTTCCACCACTTCTGAAGCTGTTTTTTCAGTTTCTTCAACATTAGTGAGTGTAACAGGAGTGGGATCTGTAGGGGGTATTAATTGGATTGATGCAAAAGGATTAGATGAAGGTGCAGATGGTGTTTTCCTGCGGACTTTTACAATTCTTCTATTGGCTAGTACTTCTTCACTAGCTTTCTTGAATGTGCCTGGTTCTTGATCAAGAATATCATCTTCTTCATCATCAAGACCAGGGTTATCTCTTGATAATTCTCTTCCAGCAGCTCTTTTCTTGGAAGGTGGAAGTGTGTTTTCTGTGTCTCCCATCACAGAATATTCAAATCCAACAGAGCTATTCACAGACTGATGATAAAATAATTTTATTCTGCATGTTTTAAAGAAAAAAAAACAGTTGTATGTTAGGATTTCTAATGATGTTATGTAAATTGGGTACAGATAGAAGAAAAAGTTCTGGTAATCTCAGGATGAACTAGAGAACACTAGTACAGAAACAGAAACACAAATTATGTAGCTCCATAGTATATTTATTACATAAACTTGAATAAACAACCATATTAGACTATTAGTAATGTTAAGAACGAGTTATCCACACGATAAAGCTACTGAAACCTTCAGCAATGTTTCAAAAACAGAAGGCCTCTCAAGTGTCAAACAGTATGTTACTCCAAAAATGGCTACTTATCTACCTCCGAGTGCTTCACAAAACTTCTTTTGCACCTTTTAATGTAATTGAACATTGAAACATGCTACGGCATCGTATCCTCAAAGACAAATTTAAGGAAAGCAAAGAAATTAGGGATTTTAACCTAATCTTACTCGGTTTTCTACTCTTCCAGGAAGATATTAAGTAAATTAACAAGATGGATCAAATTTGAGCACAATCGAAGGATATAGCATCACAACTAGTAGCAACGAGACGGGCAATTACGAACATTGCCACGATTGAAAGAATAACAACAAGAATCGTAACAAAGTTCAGCAGAAACTTAAAATCAATCTATTGGCAACAAATCCACGTCCAACGTTACTACAACAAGGAGGAAGGCGATAAGTTTTACCTTGAAAGTGGTCCGATGTGGAGCTTCTATGCTTATTTTTGCCGTAGTTTCAAGGGTGTGCGGAAGCTTGTGTTTATATACATGAACCCTAGGCTAAGGAGTAGAATTGGTTAAGACATAAATCATATCAAATTAGATAGGGAATAATACACCTGGCACCCTGCTTTTAGGCCGATTACTAATTTAGTAAATGTAGATTTCGTTCATTTTTAAAGAGTTATTTTTAATTAAAAATACCATAAACAACCAGAAAAAACATGATAATTATAAGCCATAACAAAAAGGTTGGTTCAAAAGAAAATTTTGTCATATGGGAGGGTTTTTTTTGGGAAAAATAAGCTCGAGTTTTTCTACTTTTTTTTTTTTTTTTTTTTTTTGTCTAAAACCGAAAGATTATCGGTCAGCTTGCTTAAAGGGTCAAATCGAAAACATTAAAAAGAAAAATGAAGGTCTTTTTCAAAAAATAATAAGTTGAAGTTTAATACATTAAAAAATCCAATATATAAAGTTTTTTAGGATGTAAACCTAAGTAAAATGATCTAAATATTTCGTTTATAATTGAAATACCCTCAGTATGGATAGCTTGGAATGATCATTTAGAAATACTTTAAAATTGGTTTCAGAGCCATTTTAGTAAATAAATTGTGTAAAAGTCTCATAGCTTCAAATGTTTTAAGAAGTATACGAACGCATAACAATCAACAGAAGAGATATTGTAAAGTGCATAACTATTTCAAACATGTTTACATAAAAGTCTTCTAAATGTTGTCAAGTTCTTTGATCTCTAAATCTACTAAATCAACTAATAACCTAAGCACGCGGTAAAATAATAATAATAATAATAAAAGAACATGGTGTTTGGGGAGCATAATAAGTAAATGTGAGGATTAGACCTTTCTAAAATAATATGTAAAAGGAACACAGATCAAACATAATAAGTAATAACATATAATATCCAACCCAATTTTCTTTTCTCAAAACTTCATCAAAATCTTCAAACTCAGAACTTGGAGAAAAACATTCCATAGATAAGAGTACATTGTTATAACATTATAAACTTCAAAAATTTCCTTAGTCTCTCTTTAAGGATTCCTTTTTACCTAAAGGGGTTGACTTGATGGTTAGATGATGGTTGGTTTGAGGTTATTTGGACGGAAATCAGATTCTAATTCAAACGATAATGTGTAACATTAACAAGTTAATCAATTAGTATACTTAGACATCATATAAAAAAGATGTAATTACTAAGTTGGTAAATCAAATCGCTTATTCAAAAAGATTAGGTTATATGAGTCACCCAAAAAAATGATTTATCTTAGATAAAACAATAGGATATCCCGAGCAAATACAACTGTTGAATGGATGAAGAAAACCTTATTTGCTTTGTATGTAACCATTTTAGCTTTAACAAAAAGAAGCCTAGCAAACCCAGACAAGAAGCACACTACATTTAGATGAAACAAAAAATACTATATGACTGTTGGTTGTTTCTGAATTCCCACACCTATAAAGTATAAAATGTGTCTACAAATCACAATAAAAATGGCTTCAAAAAAGAATATCTCGATTGATAAAAACATCTACCAACTCTTTGTCAAAAAAAAAAAAGAGGCTCACTCACTCACTCACTCACTGTTTGTCTTGGTCTTGGTCTTGGTCAGCATCGTTTCCATTAACAAGTACAGCACCATCTGTAGAATCATTATCCATGCCCACACCACCTTCTTCACCATCAACAAATTCATCCTCCGTTCCATTCTGAAATGGATTTCTATATTATATATATATATATATATATAATATATATATATATATATATATATATATATATATATATATATATATATATATATATATATATATATATGTAAATACAAGCTATAGTATAATTTTATATGTTTTTTTAGTATTATATGTAAATAGTAAATGCGAGATATAGTTTCAAGACTTCATCGTTTTAGAAGTATTAATTACAGAACTAAAACAATGAACATGAAAAAGAGAAAATAAGATTATAAATATAAAAATACTTTCTAGCAAATTTTAGAAAATATAGTTTAAATTTAATTAAAAATGATTCTTAAAAAGGATTTTGTCATTAAAAAAAAAAATACTATATTACAATGGAATGAGCAAATTCTATTCACCCACCAATTCTGTAGTATCAAGAAGTCGCAATTACATAGATATCTTCATGGAAACATGAAGAAGAAGAAGAAAGAAAAGGTACCTCATGATCTAAGCCTCCATTTTCCATGGGTTCATCAACATCCAATTGCATGTTTTTAAAAGTCTCCACTAGATTCATATGTGATCTATCAACATACTTCACATACTCCGCTGCTGGAAGATAACTACCCCTATTTTTTTTATTAAAAAAAAAATCACATTTAAACTTAAATCCATTATAATTTATAATGTAAGAAGAAAAACAAATGAAACCTTGTCTCTGCAGCCTTTTGTTCGACCTCAAGTGCAATTTGCCAGTCCTCAAACATATTCGGGTACTCTTGAGGATCCGCTAAAGATTCTGCAGCTTTCTGGTTAACCTGTTGTCATCATCATAAGTTTGAATTTTAATATACATATAAATATATTCTAATTCTAAACAAAGAAATTAAATATGAAAAAGTAGTGGAATTCCGAAATTAACCTTGTTAAGGTCTTTTCTCCAAAGGGCGACTATCTCTGAAACCTTGCTGGGAAGATAAGATCGTGCCATTAGAGCAGCTTCAGGTATCCGATTGCTGGAAGGACAGTAATATTTCAGCAATTGTATCTTGATAAATGTTAAATGTGTTTTATTTTATATTATAAAATGGGATAGGATGGGATGGGATGATTAATTAAAGGGTTAACCTGTCAATTAACAGCTGTAAACAGTCTTCTAATTTGCCCAACATAAAGAGACAAGCAAATGCAACGTTGTTTTTTCCGTTTTCTTTAGCAAGAGATGCAAGTTTTGATATCTCTTCAGCATCTCCTAAGGAAGAGTAAAGAAGTAATAAACCACTCAAATCGTTTGCATGTTTCAAACAATCCTCTGCCATGTCCAACTGCATTCCAATCATATATATTTTGTTAAAAAATATATAAATATATAAAATAATAATTCGATTTTTGAAACGAAAAATACCAATCCAGCAGACATGGCTAATTCACCCAATTGCTTCCATTTTGACTCGCTCTCTGCTACTAGTGCAATGTCCTGCACACATCAAGGAAGTTGAGATAGCTCTTTATAACTACTGAAATAAATGGAATCATAGAAATTAAATAATTTGTCAAAAGAATTGGAATCTGAAGGAATCATAATCTGTGGCAAGAATGGAATGGGATTCAATAATAAAAGTTAAATAATGTTCAAGTTTTTATTTATATCTACATATTTTTTGGTTTTTACTTAATTCAGTGTGCATATAATGAGGGTATTTTGGATTTATAATTAAAAAAAAAAAATGATATTTGTATATACAAACCTTTTGTTTATTGAAGATATATATATAACTGAATTTTTGTTTTTATTTATTTTAATATACATAACAAGGATATTTTATTCTTTTAACAAAAAAATGAAGAATGGAATTGAATTCCTTCCACCTTCCCTAGAAAACATAGAAACTGTAGGGACTCCAACAGAATTGAATTCCCTCTATTTAGCATTGCCAACCAAACATGCCCATGGAATGGAATCTCAGATTCCAATTCCACTAACACCCTTGGTTTCCCAAGTAAAGAGCTATTTATTTATTACCTTAGCAATATCAAGTTTACCAAGCTGAATAGCCAACTCAAATCTATAATCAGGATCTGTAGCAACTTCCAAAGCCTCTTCAACCATGCCCCGTGACTCCAGAAAGTGAGCAACACTATTGAAGAAAACAAACAGATTTTTTTTTAAATCTATATATTTAAGATACAAAATTTGTTAATAACAATATAACTTTTCAAATTCTACCTATTATAATGCTCCTTTGGGATTGAGGGTAAAACTCCATTAGCTCGCTCTATGTCTCCACGCATCACAAGTGTCTTGTACTCGATTAACGTCAGAAGCAAAGTGTATCCAACGACACTAAAATTTAAAAAAAAAAAAATTAGCATAAATGTTGATGACAATTGTTTGTTTAAGATTATTATACCCACTCACTTGAATTCTTTGTCAATGAGATAAACCCTGCTCTGATTAGCAAGATACCCAAGAAGATACATAGGTCGATCCAAATGGAACATTGTGTTAACCTGAAACAAATGTCACATTAAATAATTTTAAATAAATAAAAGAAGTGTAAGTTGCTATTATAATAATACCTCGCCACCAACACAATAGTTGAGTCTCCATGAAGCATTAGTGTATATAAAACAGTCTCCAACCCATAATCCAGTTCTAACTTTTTCATTTACTTCAAATAGAAGTTCAAAGGAATCTTCAATTCCTTGATCATCTACAGGTCTTCCACTATCCAGATGTGCTGATACTACATCACGCTGCAACATAACAAATTTTATATATTATTAATCACATTTTTGCACTACACACACACACACACAATGTACTTTGAACATTTTATCGGTTTAGCCACTTAAGTAAACCATTTATACTCTTTTTTACTGTTTATGAAAACCATTTTTTCTCATTAATTGGTTTTGAAAAACGTTAATATACCGAAAAGCAAAACTAACTTTCAATTTTGACCAATTTAGCCACTGAACTACTGTTACGCTTATTATAATAATAGTTTGATGGCTAAATCGACATTGTAAAAGTACATTGTGTTTTTATGTATTTTACCTTGATATAAACCCGGGTAACCAGCAAAATGGTTTTTTTAAGTATTTAACGGTCTAATTACTATAGAAAATAGTCAAATGGCTAAATTGATATAATGCTTTTCTGTATATTGCCCTTTGCACAAATGTAAATGGAGAAAAATGATAAAGATTAAGGATCTTACATTATATTTTAGCACGTAGAATGATGAATCACTGGAAATTGCCACCAAATCACCACTATCAGCCCAGTATAGGTTCTAAAAATGAAGAAAGAAAAACAAAAACAATGTTGTTTCATACACTTAAGTGGATGTGGTAACAAAAAAAGTGATATGGTAACATATAAGCAAAATCAAGATGAGGTCATGAGGGTAATAATTATTACTTTGACATTAACATCAATCCGTTGAATCAATCTGCACTCAGACCAATCATAAAAACATATAAAATCATTTGAGCACATTGCCAGCAAAGATCCTCCATATATTCGCTCAGCTGAAAATGTCGGCCTGATACTCTTCTTTTCCTGATTAAAAAGACCATCCAAAAAAAATAAAAAATGAATAGAATGAATAGAAGAGGGGCGATTTCGTCATTGATCAAATCATTAGGTATAGGGAGTTCACAAACCTGGAAAGATTTGTTAAAAATCTTGACTTTAGATGTGCTCTCTCTAACAGCATACTCACCATCTGTTGACCAAACAAATTCCAAAGCAGAACCAAAGGATCTATTTCTCCAAGCTAAAGCTGTATATATAATGTATTCACCATCACCACAGACAACCACAAACCTCCCGTTTGGATTGTGCCTCAAGCTCTGAATCAAAAAAAAAAAAATGACATAATCAACACAATTACAAACCTTTTGTCACCATATCTGATATTAGGGTTTTAGGAAGAAAAATAAAAAGATATATGAGGAAACAAGCACAACTTACTTGTGGGTAGAGATCACATGTTCCCAGCTCTTTAACTCCTAAAGGTAACCTCTCTCCATCAGAAACCTGAGAAGCAAAGAAAAAGGGGCAAAAAAAGTCATTTCACAGAAGAAGAAAAAAAAAGGACAGAAAAGGAATTATTATTTTTCGATGTCTTTGTAGGACAAAAAAGCCCACACCTCATGATCAGCACCCACGCTTTTGATGTTAACAGTCTGGATCTCATTATGCTTAGACCATATAATTTTCCCACTATTATCCATGCTAACTACAGGCTCCTCACGACCAATTTTCACCATTATGGTCCCTTCATCATATCCAATAACAACCCTGTATATAGGAGATCAATCTTATGATAAGAAACTTGAATATGCCTTAGATGCAAACACTAGTGCTAGACATGTGAATGTGTAGTTAGAAAGCATAGTTACCTTCGTGAACCTTTCATGCACCCAACAGCCCAGACCCTTTCAAGTCCATAATTCAATGTGTTCTCTAGTCTGCACCAGAAAAAAAAAAAAAAAGGGGAATAAGGGGCAACCATGTCATTTGTAACCCTCAAGCATTCATAAGAACTTAGTTACCTATAAGTGGTGGAGTGCCATATACGTACAGTACCATCCTCAGAACCTGTAATAATTATTGGGAGTTCGGGATGGAAGCATACAGCAGAAACATTGTGTGTGTGACCTTCTAAAGTCTGGACACAACTTTTGGTTTGATAATCCCACACCTGTTTCAAATCTTTATTAGCATAGCCATACATACAGATTAGAAAAGAACATAAAGATTATAATTTATAAGCACAAACCTTAGCAGTGTGATCATCTGATCCAGTAATTAGATAGGGTTTATCGCCCCCAGTAAAATAATCCACACAATTCACTCCTTTGAGATGTGCATCAAGTGTGAAGTTAGGATCAGGTGAGCCAAGATTCCAAATCTAGAACAAGAAATAAATAAGAGGCAATGACATCAGCATTGCTGAAAAGACATTTTTGGCTGATGGATAATGTAAGAACTCTTGAAATTACCTTTATGGTACGATCAAGTGATGCACTTGCAAAAGTGTTGGTGTCTTTTGGATTGATTGTCACTTGCATCACATAATGGGAATGACCCTCAAAAATTTGAGTACAAAGCCAGTTCTTTTCCCAATCCCAAAGTTTTATAAGCATGTCATCAGATGATGACAATACATATGGGAGAGTGGGGTGAACAGCAACACATCTAATATAATCTGTATGTGCCTCGTATACTTTGACTTTATCCATTGTATTGTAATTGTATACCCGGATATACATGTCATCTGCACCTGCAACAACCCACTGCTTGCGTGCTATGAACTTTGCTGATCTGACTGTGAATAAATTATAAGCATCAAATATCAGATATAAGTTTCAGGGGTACAACCATGAATGGGAATAGATGTTATAACAGAAATATCAATCACAAACCTGGTAGCTCAGTAACCTCAAACGATTTTGCCATAGTCTACAATAACAAAGACCAAATAACTTTTGTTAGCTAAGATTCAGTATATATGAACCTATAATTATGTCTGTCATCAACAGTTTTGATTCTCATTCCCAATAAGTTTGTTAGCTAGGCTTCAATGTAAATCTAAATCGTGACATTCTATACCAGGCCATGGATTTAGCTCCATATACACAATGGGTGGGGAAAAGTGGAAAACTATTCCAATTTATATTACAATGAAAAGAATTTGAACCCAGAATTGTGTGCTCCTCAACTGTATCCAACTGCATTTCTACACTACATGGATAGGAAGTATCATGGGATAAACATGAACTGATGAACATATGTATCTTTGAAGGTGCCTGATTATCTTCATTGCAGTATATCACTTTAACTAGAGTACTAGACCTCACTCTTACTTTGAATCATTAAAATGGTTTCATACCTGAGACTGGTAATCCCATATGCAGACTGTTCCCGAATACAAACTTGTGAGGATCCTGTGAAAAGACAGAAGTAGACACGTCCATCAATAAATAAACATATAACCACTTCATCACAAATTCACATTGAGGCTCAAAGTTAAGCTATTAAAAATATAGAAGCCATAACCAAAAGGAGCAACGTCAGCCAATTTCAGAACAAGAAGAAAAACAGTTACTAACATGCATACTGGTATACTACTCTATGACATGTGAATCGTTACCATGGTTCCGTAGGATGCAGGTCCACTGATTTTACTCTTTCTGATCTTTGAGCAAGCTTCCTCTGCATAAAAAATAAGTACTTATCATTATCGAACAAATGTTTTGCAATAATATCAACACGAATTGAAGTAACTAAAGGTACCTTGATATCGAGCCTGAGAGGCTGTCCCAGAGCGAAAAAGAAACACCAACAATTGAAGTTCCAACATTAGTAATGTGATTGAACAATGATAAAATGTCAATTCATCAAAGATTCAAAACCGGATCTACACTACAACACCAAAAATGAGAATCAAGTAGAAATTGAAAGCTCACCATTGTTTAATATCAGAATTAAGCCTTAAATCGATTGTTAGCTCCTGAACCCTAAGATTCGAGTGAGCGATCCCACAAAACAACTCGAACTGAAAACGATTGAGCAACAATGAATATCCTTCCCAATTGAGCGATTTGATTGAGATCGAAAGGTTCCTTGTGCTTTTGTAACAACGCCCCTCTGATTCGTGAGCGAGGGATTGATGAAAGGGGGTGGGGTTTGAAGATACAAAGAAATACAGTATAATTTTGTTTAGTTTTTAGTTTTTATTAAATATTTAAAATGAAAATGATTTATTGCGTCATCTTTGGTTTGCACCACCGTTGCTTGATCGATCCAACCTGTTAACTTGTACGGCAAAGATCAAAATCTCCAAGTTAAAATCTTTTACCTATCTTGGCCAAAATAACGCCGAAATCACGATAAAACCTATATTCATCAAAAAAAAAATTACTATGTTTTTTGAATAGCTTTTAAAAATAGTTTATTAGTTTTTTAACTTTTAAAAAGATAATATTAAAAAAATATTTGTATATTTAAAAAGCGTTTTTTAAAATAGTTTTTTAGATAGAAAAAAATAAAACTGAAAAATCTTGATTTTTTTTAGTTTTTTAGTCATTTTACTCCTAAAAAAAGTTTCTCTTATCCAAACACTTTTTAAAATCTATTTTTCCTAAAAACCATAAGCTAATAAGTATTTTTCTTAAAAATCACTTTTATGATAAAAAAAAAAAGTTAACCCAAACACACTCGTAAAGTAGTCATTTTTGTTGATTATATAGTGATAAGATCAGTTGAGAACTCATAGTTTTCCGAGAACCCGATAATTAAAAGTAGGTTATATCAAAATTAATTCATTAAGAGCATGATCGTCATCTTATCAATCTCATTTAATGTTTAATTTTTTGTGTTATTAGAAATATTAATAGAAACTAAAGAAAGATCTTCACGTTGCGGGGGTTAGAAGGTATTCTATTGTAAAACATGATATTGATTAAGTAAATTAAATGTAGTGTTAATTAAGGTTAGTATATGGAACAATTTAACATATTATTTATAATCTTGTAACAATATAATAAATAAAATAATATAAAACAAACTCACATATTCAAGAAAAGAAGTTTTTTAGGGTAAAGCTCTCACACTTTATTACTATTAAAATTTTGGTCACTGCTACTTAGTATCGGCAATAGGTCTGAAAAAGTATCTAAAAAGAAAAACTTTAGATATTTGTACCCTGTCGAAGTAAGGAACCATGGCATATATGTTTGGAATAGATTCCATTTTGAAAGGGTTGAATAAGCACTATCTCGTTGAAAAGTTCTATACATCTGCCCTTTCTCAACGCATTTCTTTAGACAAAGACTCCGTTTTTTCCTCTTTTCGGATGGTAAATATTTCTCATAACATGGAGTGTGAATCAAACTCATGTTTGAATTGAAATTGAGATACTGATACAAGTTCTTCCCTTCTGAATCGGATAGATTCATTCACATAAAGATGAAAGATAAAAATATGGGTTTATTTTTTCAAATATAGAGCAAATTATGGACAATAGCAATAGTGAAGTAGGTTGCTATTTCCTGCCATTTGCCTTTCAAATTTATGTTAAAAGTTAAAGCGGGTTCACAAGTCTGAGATGAAAAACAAATATGTAAAAGAAGTGAATGAATGTTACAGAAATAAATATGAAAAAGTTATTGTTTATAACTGTACAACAAAAAAAAAAAGAAAAAAAAAAAGATACAATTAAAACTAAATAACGAAAATTCCCATTAATTTCATTTGTCCAAAACAACACTTTAGACTTCATTTGACCAGTGAAATTGTTGATGGAAATAGCACAAAAGATATGGTCATTGTTGTTATCATATTTCAAGAAATATATATATAAAAACTTAAAATATACGTAAATACCTAAAAATACATATAAATACGTAAAAAAATACGTTTATAATTATATACAAAATTTGACGAAATTTGCATAAAAGTCCCCTTATTTTGCAAGAGTTAACGATTTTGTTTCATGACCTGCTGAACATGTCAAAAAGAGTTAAAGTGAATAAATTAGACGATTTCTTAAGTTCTTTTTTATTTAAAAAAATAAATAATCGGGAATTTTCTATTAAAAAAATAAAATTAAGAATTTATTAAAAAAATTCAAAATATTGAGATTTTTCTAGAATTTTCCCTATGAAAGGCATCAAACAAAGATTATAATAATACATAAAACTAACAACTTCATTATATTTGAAGTATATAAGAAATTTTAAATTGTCTATCTAATTTTATGTATCACAACATACATGTCATTTAATGACTAGGCATATATGTTATCAATGAAGTTGGCAAAAATGTATATACTAGAGAAAAATGTCAAATCACCACTTTTACCAGCAATTTATTATTTTTTGTAAATAAATTTTAGTTTAAGATTTATTTATATAATAATATAAATTAATGAAAATATAATAGAGATTGATTATTATATCATAACCATCTCATCAATTCATTTAATGTCTAGACATTCATATCAACAATGAAATCGGTAAAATATATGTTACCAATAGAAAATGGCAAAACTATCACGTTTACTGGTAATTCATGTTTTTTCATAAACATATTTTAATTTGAGATTTGTTCGTAAATTCTAAATATGTTAATTAATGTAGGATTAATGCAATATATATATATATATATATATATATATATATATATATATATATATATATAATTCTTCATAAATTTCTAATGTTAAATGATTAATTAATGATAATAATAATTAAAAATAACAAAAAATAATAAATTAAATTACATTAGTTACTTATAATTTATATTGTTGATATTTCAAATAACCATATTATAATCAAATTTTAAAAATGATAAAATAAGTAATTTTTAATTAGTTGACCATCATAATTTTTAAAAGTAACACTAAATAAGGGTAGGTATAATGAACGCAGGCCAAGTCAAGAAAAGGACTTCCTTACTTTTAGTCTTAATTACTAATAGTTTGAAGCGAAACCGGTTTTTTTTGGCACTCGGTTCCTTCGTCTTAAGTAAAGTTCAGTTGACTTTTTTGATTCGGAACTCTTAGTCGAGCTGATGGCGAGATCTTTTTTTTGTTCGAGGTTCAAGAGGAAGAAGAGAAGAGGAACCCCCGCCCAATGGTGCTTTTACGAAAGTACGGTCACCGGTGGCTAATACCTTCTCGACACTATCGAACCTGAAATCCACTCTCAATCGCTCTTTTTAGTTGGCGGGCAAGGGTTGCCCAATTTCTTAGCCGATACCGGGACGTCTTTGCTTGGTCATATAACGATATGCCAGGCTTAGATCCAGTCCTAGTAGAGCATAACTTTAATAGAGATCTAAAAAGAAAGTCTCCAAGCTCCATCCCGACTTGGAGGTATTTATATTTAATTTTATGAACGTACAAGGCGCAATGAAATATAATCAATTACTATAATAGCAATTTAGTATAACAATTATTATATAATTGATATCAATGAAACATATATTTATCAAAAAATAACATGCAATTTAATCTGCACAACCTAGGAAAGTTATAAAATATAATGAATAAAATGAAACCGTTATGTAATGAGCAAAATGTAACCAATCACGGTAAGAGCAAAATGAATTAAACAAAAAAAAAAAGAATTAACGAGTTAGAACATATATATATATATATATATATATATATATATATATATATATATATATATATATATAATGAGCCAAATAATACTGAGAACAAAATAGATATAAACTAAAAAATATTAACGATTTAGAAGATATTTAGTTGAAAAATGGAAAAACGACCACAGTGGGAGTCGAACCCACGACCTTTTGATCCGAAGTCAAACGCGCTAATCCACTGCGCTATGCGGTCTGCTGGTGATATTCTTGCGTACAGAGTAATAAAACATAACATTAGAAACGATTACAAATATGATATAGCAAATGTAATTATGTAACTTAGGATTAAAAGAAAATGTAGATTCTAATTTTAAAGTATAATTCTGAAACATAAACTATAAATTGATTTACAGTATCCCAAATTTAAAAAGAGTATTTATCAAATTAAATACGATATTTTTTATGAAATTGATGTTTCATCATTATTTTTCCCAAGAAAAAGCAAGTGTGAATACTTTTGCAAACAATATACATGAAACTTTAAATTATTATGAATCAACATTATTATATATTCTCCAGCAAAAAAAAAACTTAACACGTTAATTAATAAAATTTAGTTATTATATATATATATATATATATATATATATATATATATATATATATATATATATATATATATATATATATATATATATATATATATACTAGAAAAATACAAAGGTCGTGCTAAGCATGGCCATGATTGGTCCAAAATTTTATGTAAAATGGTTATTTTATATATGGTAAGAAAGTCTCAAGCCTAATAATGGTTATGAATTATGCATAAAGAACTTTGTGGAAGTATAATGTTGTAAATAGATAAAAATTTTCTGGTGTGATTCTTTCATAAGAAAATAAAATGAAGATATACTGATGTAATTGAAAAAAATATAGTAAACCATTGAACCTTCATTGATGGAATTCCTTAGAAGTGTTACAGAGGTTCTTAGGAAGGACACATTTAATTTGGCTTCTGTTTTGTTCGGATTTGGAGAGAAGTAGAAACATCCCTGCACAAAAAAATTGAATTATTAAAAATAACTCTGGATTTGAAGAGTACTCAACATAAAAAATGTATAATATTAAATTATTTATGAAGACTAAAAATACTAAAATAGACAACAAACTTGCAAACTGGGAAGTCAATAAATGAAATGTTCTTTAGCATTAATTGTGGTTAATCTTGAATCTTTCAAGGTTATAAATTTAGATTTTTAAAGTTGATTAAAATACTTATATATTCTAACAAACATCCAACTTATTCTTACTACTTATGAATAATGCACATTTAGGCACAACTTATCTTGCAACTTCTGTTTGTCAACTCTTTTATTGTTCAACTTCATGTTTAAAACATGGAAGTTATCCAAAATAAAATTGGTCTGCATCTCTTGGTTCCTATCCCATGCCTCTGCCTCTAGGCCTAAGAAGATGGCAAAATAAATGAAACATTGACACGCATGACAAGAAGATTACCATTTGCTGGAATTTAGAACTTTTGTACTTTTGGTTTTCTTCATTACATGACCCGCTTCTAGTCAATAGATCTTCTAACAAAGCCATGAATTCG